TAGATAGAGTTAGATGGTAGATAGATGATAGAGATAGATAGATAGATGAGATAGATAGATAGATAGATAGATAGATAGATAGATAGATAGGCAGGCAGGCAGACAGTAAAATTTATAGGATGCCCATCTTACCTAAGGGTAATTATGCACATTCCCATTTCCCTGGAGCTATTGGAAAGCATCTATTCCCAAACCCAAGTCTGATATTGAATTTGCCACCTGGTCCACTCACCTCCATCAGCCTCATCTCATCTTTCAGGTCATCATATCGCTCTTCTAACCGGCTGAATTCTTGGAGCAGATTCTGATACCTCTGCCTTTCGTTGTTCAGGTCGAGATCCAATTGTTTTGTCTCCTCTAGATGTTTTTTCTCCATGACCTCTGCAAACAAAAAGACAAAAAACAAAGCGAGACTTCACCCCTTGCTTTCTCTCTGCAAGTGAGAAATTCCCTATTTCCCAGCATTCCCACATTCAGTTCCACAGGCCTATTTAAACACAGAAACTAGGTTTTTTTTTAAAAAAAAAAAACCAGTCAGTAAATTCCAGAGCTGAGCTTACCTGTAATTTCTTTGGCCTGGTTTTGGATGCGGCTATTCAGGTCATCCTTCTCCTCTTTAAGAAGTGTGTTTTGCTCTTTTAGTTCCAGCACCAGCTAAAAAGAAAAAGGTTGGAAAGGATAGCTTTGTAATGCTCTGGCAATAAATCTCTTTCGATATGAGTCCAATTAAATTAGTTGCTAAGTTTATAACGAGGCTGCTGATATTGTTATCAAAGTCTTTATCTATGCACAATATTTCCCTTAGTCTAGGACAGGGGTCTCCAACCTTGGCCACTTGTGGACTTCAGCTCCCAGAATTCCTCAGCCAGCTTTGGAATTCTGGGAGTTGAAGTCCACAAGTCTTAAAGTTGCCAAGGTTGGAGACCCCTGGTCTAGGACAGTGTGTCAGCAGGATCTCCAGCATGGGATTCTCCTTTGATGCATGCTTGCTATTGGCTGCCATAGTGATGGGGAAGGGATGGCTTGGCATTTGGGGTTGGGAAGTGAACTGGTGAGGTGAAGTCCCAGGTGAACTAAAAGGGAGATTTTCTCTCAAGAATGATTGCGCTGCTGAGAGGAGTTGTTTACACCCTGTCAAGGCCAACCGTCCTAGGACTCCAGGTGGGCTGAACACCTGACGATGAGCTTCACACACCATCACACTGGACGTCGATTGGGCACTCAGCATGTACCCTGGCGGGAAGGATTTGGGGAAACTTTCAATCTGTAACTTTCTTATGCTTTTTGAATCAGATCTTGCCTTGTTTTTGTTGCTGGCATTTTGAACTCAGCAAAAGTACCCCTTCTCTATTCCAATGGAGTCAGTGGTTTCTTTCTTGGATTTTAGAATGGAGGCAGGCCTGACACAGTGATTCTAGACTTTTTCTTCACCCCATGACCCCGAGACTTAACTCAAGATTTAAATCGTAACCGTTTTTCAAGCCTTTGTGGAGCCCCTTGTCAGCTTTGGAAGGCATATTTTACTCAGAAGCTTCCATTTCAGGGCCTGGGAATTTGGGAGGGGGCAATCTTACGGAGAAGTGGAAGTTTAGACATAAAAAACATTCTTCTTCTGAAGACTTATTTATAAAACAATAAAAAAAACTAGTGTAATAGATATACTGAGTATTGCTTGTATTATATATATGGGAATGTGATTATTAGTATATTGTTATACTGTTAAGAAAAATATTATTAGTAATTGTTAAGCACATGAAATATGTACCTAATCGATTGAAATGGAATGGATTTATTGTATGTTAAAAATAAAAAAATAAAAATTAAGAAAAAACATTCTTCTTCTGAGTCAAGGTCAAGCTATCCTGCACCTGGGAAAGGAGTGGTTTGAGGAAGGCCGTCCAGTTGGGACGGTTGATGATTGGACCATGTGATGGACTGATGGGTACAGGGGGTGGGATTTGGATATGTTAATAATTCAGGAAAAACCAGGAACTCTCAGATTCAGGTTTTCCCAGATGCGCCAACTCTAATTTACACGGAACTTTGAGAAAATGCTGGTCTCGGAGTTCGTTGCGTTGAAGTTTGTTACTTGGAAGGCTGACACTCTTGTGATGACATCATGCCCCCCCCTCAGAAGTCCATGGACCACAGGTGAGGAACCACTGATCTAGGACATTAGATCAGACTTGCTCAGGCTGGAGTCTTCCATTAACATGAACCCCAGCCAGCACTACGAAGGTGCCTCTGCGGGGGAAAAAAAACTGATTTACAATATATGAGTCTGCTGAGTTTTGATGAAAAGGACAGATAGGGTAAAATGGTTTTTTTTTAAATGTAACTTTGATGAAACTGGTCTACTCAAGCTACAAGCTGAAGCCAACTGGGAAGAGATAGGAGCAAAAGTGTGGAGAATGGAACTGATGCGCACACAGGTGGGTGCGCATGTGCAGAAACGCACACATACGCACCATGTTGCTTTCATCAGCAATACTTAAAAGTGGGACCGAACGATTTTTTTACCTTGTCTGTTTCTTGTTTATAGAGGTCCGCCTTTTCTTTGATCGCTTTCTTCTCCGTCTGGATCTGTTCCAGCTCCTTCCGCAGCCTGCCGATCTCCTCTTGAAGGCTAATGAGGCGATTGGTGGCGTTCTTGGCCTCTTCTTCGCTCATCCGAAGCCTCTCTATGTCATGCCGCAGCTTCTCCGTCTCAGAAGTGTAAGCTGCCTCTAAGCTAGTTAGCTTCTCAACCAGGGACCTGGAGTCTCGTGTCTGAACAGAAACCCCAAAGAGTGCAGGTCAATCATTAGAAGATGACAGACGCAGGCTAAATATTTATGGATCATCTTGTCTCCTTAGGTCCTCATTTAGCCACCACGGAAGGATAGAAGGCTGAGTCAACCTTGAGCTGGTAAGATTCGAAGTGCCGAACTGCAGGCAGTTGGCAGAAGTAGCCTGCAGTACTGCACACTAACCACTGCGCCAACATGGCTCATTTAATCTGCAGTTGTGCACCCATTTTACCTGGTCATCGATTTTACGCTGGAGTTGCATAATCTTGTTCTCCATGCCGACGTTGAGTTTCTTGTAGTGCTCTACCGAGCGAGCTTCTATCTTCAGCTTCTTCAGTTCCCTCTTGGCCCTCATGCGCCGTAGGCAGCATTGCAGGTAAATAATTGCCTTCAAAGTCCGGTGGTAGCGCAAGCGAGCCAGCCAGCCGCGCACATGTTTTTGGATAATGGTGGCCTTGTGCTCCCAAAGCATCTGCGCATTTAAAAGAAAGGTTGAGCATCCTTTCCCTGAATTTCAGATCTCTGACTGAAATTTGCTACGGGGGACAATTAACTGACAGCACAGTGAAAATGAGTTGTGCCTGAGCTAAAAGTTATTGAAATAGAAAACATCAACGCTAAAACTAAGAAGGAAAAAATATCTCCTCCCAATTTATAGCAGTAGCTTGCTTTGCCACCCAAGGCTAAAATTATAAAAATTATTCACGCCGTAAGTCGTAGACCAAACATTCGTGTTTTATAAATAACTCAAATATTCCTTCATTGCTTCATTTGAGTAGTGATAGATTCAGCTGATAAATTAAACTAAATCAGTTTGGTATTTTTAGTTTGTTCCTATATTACATAAAACTAATACTCAGAATCAATATAAAGAATTTAAACTCCCCAAAGGAATACAGCTATTAGGAAAGATTCAAGATCCTTCATCCATCCTGTGACCACAAATTGTGATACAAATTTTGATTTGCTGGCCAAGAACGCCATTCTCTTCCAGTATATATCAGGAAAACAATTTGGAAAAGGCTGCTTTCTAATAGTACACTAACCAGGCTTTCTCTATTTTCATGTTTAAAGCCCAGCCACCGGAATATTATTTCTTATGCTTGAGTTACCCAGGGATACACAACAGCATATTTCCAACGACTATTATGTCATTGCTCTATTCAAATGTTCTAGAAATACCTTGATTCGACTGTGGGTCCTCAGGCTGACACAAATAATCCCAGTAAATCCAAAGAATATTCAAGTATCAGAAAGTTCCCTAAGTGCATTCGATTGTTTACAAAACAGCATCTCTAGAGTTGGAACAGCGGAGATCCCTGTAAAACTGTGAGCCTCCCAACAGAATCTCATTTGGGAATCTCCTTCGAACATGTGAACTGGTGAGTCAACTCTTCTTACAGGCCAGTAATTATTTTCCATACCAGTTTTTATAATCACAAGACAGCTGTTGCAAAAGCTTCCACAGGCAAAGAACATGCTATGCAGATTGAAATCATCTTTAATTACCGGAACACCATGGATATGTGTCAGAAGATCCATCAACACAACTGAATCACCTTTGAAATTCTTACAAAGCCACAAAGGGTCAGAGGCTGAAGTTTTTAAAAGGGTTCTACAATCTAACAGAAAGCAGTGAAATTTCTCCTACAGAATAAGGTTTCAATTAGAAAACAGGGGAGCTGGTTTAAATAAGGAGGTATAAGAATGTGTCGAAACCCACGAAATATAAAATTCTGGGTGTTGGTATGTCAGGAGTATAGCTATGTTTTTGTCAACAGCTAACCCCAAAGGATACTGAACAAATTGGAAAAGGGTTAGAAAGAATATCTATTATAGGTCAAGTGTTTTTTGCTCATTTTGTATTATGGGATACATATTTTGCAAAGTTTTGCACCACTATTCTTCTCTGTTGGTCTGCAAGCGCGCTAATCTCAATTGTGAGAAATGGGCCCATCGAAATAACACTAAAGCATGTATGCATTCTACTGCATCCTGGAAGAAAGTATTGCTGGATCATAACTTTTGGAGAGGATTTAAAATCACAGCCAAGATCTTGCTTACCTTGTGATACTTCTTCCTGGCAATGTAGCCTCGTAAGTGGGACTGGAGAGTAACAGTAGCTGCTCGGATGTGCCGATAACGTTTGCGGGCAGCAACCATGCGCTGGAATTTCTGGATGACAATGGCAGCTTTGGTTCTTCGTAAGAACATTGCAAGGCTGAGCAAGAAAATGGAGGAGAAGGGGGAAAAAAAGAACAGAAATGAATTCATTGTATTGGAATAAGTATCCTCTTGCGTGGAGTCAAGGGATTATTCATAGTAGCTTCCAAGATTTAAATAGTTTTTACCAAATATTTTGATTTGACTTTGGCAACCGCAACAAAGACTACCTTTAGTATCTATTGCAGTCAGACTATAGCTCAGAGTCGTGGTGGAGGAAAAAGACACGTTGCTCTTACTCCAATTCTGTAGAATTTCAGCTTCAAAAAAACCCTAAAGTAACAAGAATAATTTTGGGTCCTGCCGAAGCCACCAAGAGAGTCTCCAACCTGTTATCCCTAGGTACCATGTTCTTACTCTGCCTTATGCGTTGGATTTCAAAAGCGTTGGATGATGACCTATAGTCTGAATAAACGGAATGGAATGTGTGGAAGATCTTGGGGAAGGAAGAGAAAAAACGCTGCCCGGGAAACAGCCAGACAAGAGAAAGGGCTTATGATCAGAAAAAAGAAACTTAGGGTGGACCTGCTCAAATTGATTAGATGGTTAAAAATCGTGATGGGAAGCGTGTGAACTTAGACTTGCAGGCTTCTCTTAGCCTTACAACAAAGCAGAATTAGCTCATCTAGTTGTGTTTCCGGTCTAGTTTATGTGGGAGGACTGAAAAGAGGGGAAAGATAAAGATCTATCGTTCTACGCTACTCTCTCTGAGTTTATTTTGTATAAAGCCTCAGGAAACTTTATTAGATAAAATCTGGTTAATCACACGTTATTTTTGGGAATGTCAGTGATGCAGTAGAGAGGTTTACATCCTGATGACAGTTCAACTACAGAAGGCCCACGGCTCATCTAATTGGGCATCAGAGTTGCCAACCAAATGCTAACCAAAGAAATGTTCAAGAAATGTCTTTACTTCCCATAGTTAGGATTTAGTCTTTGCAGCCCGTGAACATAGATGGTGTATATATGACTAGGAGCTACTAATATTTAGTTTCCATGATTTGTGTTTTGCAGCCTAGACCAAGCCTGTAATTAATTTTCATGCCATGCCCCTAATCAAATTAAAAAGAGTTCATTTTCCCTATATTATGCTCCACCAACCATTCTACAATGTCTTGCTTTCCAAGCAGGCAGCAAAACAGAACGTGTGTGTCTTATGAATACCCAATTGCACGGGCCTACCTTTCAATACATAGCCTATAATAATTTTATTTTCAGGGAAACTCAGCAGATAGCAAGGAAACTATTTACACTAGCTCAATGATCAAGAAGTATAAACAATACTCCAATCGAGGAACTACTCAACTGACACAAACAAACGATAAATAACAACTTAATCAAGGAACCACCAACTCTGACAGGGCAAGCCACTAGTATTTAAAAAGATAGAAACCCCACTCCCTTCTAGCACTGATGATGTTACCTAGTTGGGTAATGAACTGTCTGCAAGAAAACGAACAAGCTCATAGAGCACCAAAGACCCCACAGTTCAACTCTGAGCTACATATATTCTCTTCTATCAAAACTATTTACAGCACACCATCCTAAGGAAGATCAGCTTACCATCGTGCCTGGTATCCACGGACGTATCTCTGAATAGTGACGGCTGCCTTCCTCATGCGCAGGTACTTCTTCCGCATCAACCACCCCCTGATCGTCTTTTGGATACGGATGCAAGCTGCTCTCAGTTTATCGGCCCTTATTTTTTCCAAATAAGCTACTTGACCAGCCCGGAAAAATATTTTTGTCTTCCCAAACTGGTACTTATCCTTGTCCTATTTTCAGAAGGAAAAGTATAATCAGTATCAGATCTGACCCACTTTGCAATATAAATAAGAAGGCAGAGTAGGTCCAATAATAGAAGAATTAAAAATATCTTACGATACCATGAAGGTGATATTATGCAGAAGCAGCAGAGAATATTAAAATATAATTTTTAAAGGATCAAAATATCTGGATTGTACCATTCTATTTCTAACACATCATGATGATTTCAGAATGTTAAAAAAATGTAGGGTGTTATTATTCATTCTATGTTAGGGAGTTCATTCTAAGCACGTGCGCTGTTTCCCAAAAAGCAGGAGGGTTAAATATATATCAATATACCAAAGTGTCGAAGTTTAAAAGGAAGATTTAATTAGGAATCTAAATTAATTAGTCTAAAGGATTTTTCATCCAGTTTTGCTTCCATGGGATGAATGGATTTTCAATCTTATATATATGCTTACCTGAGACAAGCCCCATTGAATTCATGTGGACGGAACTATTTCTGCATAAACATGTGTGTGTGTGTGTGTGTGTGTGTGTGTGTGTGTGTGTGTGTGTGTGTATGGTTGCTTTGTTAGTCTCTGATTGTACTTTGATTTCTACACCCTGGGCAAAGGTCAGATTGCACGCGACACATTGGATTTTTCTAGTTGGCAGTTCTATAATTTTCTCCAGGAACTGAAAACAGTTTTGGGGGGATGTATGATAACTCATTTGCATCAAGATGGAGGAGCCTTCATACAAAGCTATTTTCCTGATAAAAAGCCCCTTCCCTTCCTATGCTATTCTTTTTTTTTTTAGAGGTATGGTGATAAACTAAAATGTTATTTTGATTATAGGTCATCAAGGCAAGTATCAACTCTTAGCAACCATATAGATAGATCTTCTCCGTGAAAAATGATGTCTTCATGTTGAAAGTGAGGAAACAAATTTAAAAATAAGTATCTCCTCCCCCTCTGTGCTTAATTAATGGATGGGTGGATGGGTGGACGATCGATAGATAAATCGATATGGATGGATGGGTGGGTAGGTGGATGGACGATAGGTAGATAAGTAGGTAGGTAGGTAGATATGGGTGGGTAGACAATAGATAGGTATGTAGGTATGTAAGTAGGTAGGGATAGATAGATAGATAGATAGATAGATAGATAGATAGATAGATAGATAGATAGATA